TTGTATTGCTACACGACTATTTTCTAAAATATCTTTTGGTGAAAGAGATTTTCTCATTGTCATTGTCATCATAGCTTCTTTTCGAAGAACTTGTCGACCAAATGCAACAGCACCACTTGTTACTAATAACATTTGTCGACCTTCATTTTGTAATTGTGATACTTGTTCAACAATTGATGCTAAACGTCCAATGGCAAGACCATCTTCATTTTCACGTGTTATTAATGCTGTACCAAGTTTAACTATAATACGATGTGCATGTTTCATATTACTACGACTTGATATAGGAAGAGTTTTTGAATTAATAAATCCATTTGTTTGATTAATATCTCCATTCAAAGAAAAATATGGACTACCAAATAGAGTTGACATTGTAAATTATAAAAAAATCTAAAGATAGAAAATAATTTTTTTTTTTCTATTGCGTTTTTAAGTAGTAAAGAATAAGATATTTTCGGCGTAATCGCAAGAACTAGTGCAAAGGATTTACGATGGAACGTAATAGAGATATATTCATCTGAAGAGACAAATTATGTTGATCTTCTAACTCTTGCACATGAAAAACAATCAAATTCAGTCGAACATGGTAAGAGTATAAAACTAATAAAATATTTAAATAATTGAAGACTATTGTGATGTGTATAAAAGATCATGAAAAAGTTTAGAAAAAAAAGATCCAGTGACCTACTGGTCTGTTTTTCGTTGCATCTTGTATATTTAAAGAGAAAAATTTAAGTGGAGAACAAAAAAAAAATGAAAGTGTAAATAGATAAACGATGTCAACATCGCATATATTTGTTGCAAAAAAATTATTATTGAAGATTAAACAGCAGTAGTAATATTTTTTAAAAAGGATATATAAATGAAGATAATTAGATGATAGATTAAAATAACTGCTAAATAGTATCCTCATCAGAAATATTGTGAAAAAGAATCAATTAGAATAATAAAGTGAATTTATCTCTTACATTCATTGTTATGAAGTCAGACTCAACGAACGACCCGAACGCGACCATTGTTATGACTGTCATGCGTTGGATGCGTGCAAACCGCAATTGATAAGACAAATGTAACGGACTTTAGATTACTGTGGACGTGTAAAAACTTGATGACGAGAACAACACGTAGAAAAGAAGTTATCAGTCTTTCTGTTAAAATGATTTTACCATTATCTATTTTCGAGGCATTTTATATCATGCATCGTATTTACATATACTTAGATATTGTAAGGACATATTTTGATTTTATATAATATATGTATGATATAACCATCAATCTCATTAAAGTCCAGATGATCTTGTCTGAATGAAATAGTTAGGCATGAATAGAAGTTGATATCATTTCTTTATTGACTTATTCAGAAAGTAAAGCATACATCATTGAATTTAAACATAAGAAAAGAAAAAAACAACAGGAGATGGAGCCAACGTATAATGAGCGTCAAAGGAAGTTGCATAAGTAGAAAATTTTAATCTTTCTGAAGTTGCAATATAATTTGAAATAATACAAATATGACAGAGAAACATAAAAAGAAATTTATTTTTATTTTTTTAAACATTTGTGTTTTTAGATATTTATTTTCGAAGTTTTCATTTTTCAAATAATGATCCTTTTTATTTATTGATAATATTGATAGTAGAATGTCAGATATTCTTTGTCTATGAAACTCTTTATTATTATTTTCATTATGTGTTATTTCAATTATTGGAATATTAGAATTATGACGATGAGAATTAACACTTGAATAAAGTCGATTAACTGTTTTATAAGATGTCCATAATTGATTAATGATTTCTTTTACAATAACAACATCACAACTATTTAAAGAAAGCAAATGTGTTAGTAAAATTTCATCATCTTTTGAATAATATAGAATAAAGTCATGTGCGTTTTGACGTTTTCCTCTTAGGATAAATGATGACATTATACCAAGACAATATTTAATAAATCATACTTTTCACCTAAAAAATGATTTCTGTACTTAGTATATGTGTTCTGAAAGATATTCAATAACCTAATTGAATATCAATGTCAATCACCTATCAAACACCGATAGAGTCTATTGTAAGCTCCGTCACATGAGATATATTTGAAATTGAGAAATTCTGAAATTAAAATGGGATTTAGTTCTGGCGTTTAAAAAGTTGCGCTACTCGAATCGTTACAGTTACTGATAGCGTTAGTATGAAATATTCTGTTGTCTCAGGCTACGTACGAACAATGTCCATATTTAATAGGCGCACGATGGCGATGTTTGATTATGCGATACTGTTTACAAATGCTGTGTTTCAGTCAAGAATCTAGTCACAGCTGCGGTAAAACTTTCCGGATCTTGAATGAACGCGAAATGGCTCGTTTTTGGTAGGATCATTTCTCCTGCTTGTTGAATCCAAGTGGCCATCATGTCTGTTTGTTCTCTATTTATGACTTCTTCGTGATCGGCATCAACGATCAACACAGGTAAATTATGGGGAATCTTGTCGAAATCTTTTTTTGACCAGTTTGGAAGAGTGGACCACATTGTTGTTAAATTATTGTATAAATCTTGATAGTTGTTAACTGGACTCATTTGTTCATATTCGGATTTACTACGTGTGAGATAAGCAGGGAAGACAGGTGAGGCTAAAATGTCTTTCGCACCAGAAGAGTCATAATTTGCTGCAAATGCAAATAACGAAATTAATCTGCGAGGATATTTCATTGCCATATTTAGGCCAATAATTGCTCCATCACTCCAGCCAACCAGATGGATTCGAGTGATATCTAAATAATCCAGCAGACCGATAACATCCGAAGTCATTAGATCATAGGTTATATTGGTAGCTGACGATGGACTTCGACCTTGGCCTCGAGAGTCCATCAGAATACACTTGTAAGTAGATTGAAGTTGTTTAACTTGTAAACCCCAATAATCACTATTAGCAAAGCCACCATGGAGGAAAAGAATGGGGATGCCATCAGCTGGTCCATAAATCGTGTACCATATACGGATACCATTGACAAGTGCATATTGGCCAGCATGTGGAAGAGGAAGTTTCGGTGTCGGTGGCAATCGTAGCCATGGATAGATTGAATTTAATACAGTCGAATTCCTAGTTGTATACATGAAAAAATATAGACAAACGCGAGCAAGACAAGATGCATTGTATTCTTACTGCTCATTTTTGTGTAGTGCTGTGATTAAGGTATTGTCTTGTGCATCCATCTATGTATTTCTTGAGCAATGCATGAAATATAGCTAAGAAAGCAAAAGAAAAATATCTGACTGTGTTTTTTTAATTTAAAATATTCAATGTGCTAATGAAACAACGAACTGAATATGCCAAGAAAAAAAAAGAGTCGGCAAAGCGAAAAATTGTTTCACAGTGATGATATGAATAAAAATTATGCGTGTACAGTATATGGCAAATCTGCGCAGCTTGCTTGTTTGTCACACATTCATGTTGATTCAAATTTCTATTCAAATGATGTGTGTATGAGGTATGGAGCTGTATTCCTTTATCAACGCACAACTCGCTGCAAACGACACGAGCAACAATAAACCACTTAACTACGTGGATATGGTGGATCATTTAACAGGACGATAAATACAGAGGAGGTAAACGATCTCAAACGGCCATATAGAGGCAATATACACTCCATATACGACCGTATCTGACTGTTTTACCTGAGTTAATATTACGATCGTAAATTTTCGTACTCGTATACGAAGAAAAACAGAAATTGTATATGAAACGTATATAGGATACCTATGATCGTTTATTCCACTGTAGGTATTGTTCGTGTCTAGCAAAAAAAATCCTAGTGAATACGCAATGAAAGCGAAGTTAGATTGAACCAAACAGCAATACAAATAGAAGTCTCATACCACCGACTCAAAATAAAAATGAATTTGAATGATGAATAAGTCAATTTCGACTTTGGATCTTTTCGAGTCATATCAAACGAATTCGAGGATCATGCTGGGCAATTATGTAAAAACAGTACTTTGCGATTCTTGTGGGAGTGTATAACTGAACGAAAATTCAACACACGCATCTGAATGCTTGAAGAGCATTGTTCTAATGAGTGATAGAATTAGTGAACAATACGATTGCTTGATCACCGATTTTATGTTCATCGAATCTGAATAAACTTAATCAAATATTTTTCTTTAGCATTTCATGTAGATACCAGGCACCTTTGTGTGTTTTATCATTGTTGACAAGACCTAGTGGTCGCATAAATACCTTTCTCAGATCTATGATTGTTATAAAGCCACCCTATTTCTAATGTTGTATTATTAACCAATGATGTAGCTAAAAGATTGATGAACTTTTGATGTAGTTTTATTTGATAATAAAAAGAACGTTTGTACATTGTTTGTTGATGATTACTTTTTTTAACTATAATTTCCATATCATAGTAACTTAAATTCTGGTTTTTCAAATTTATTTTTGATGAAGGCCAACACTGACTGAGTTTTTTGTTCCAATTGAATGCTTTCATAAACAACCGAAAATAACTCGACAGACATGTTAATAACTATCACAGAGTGTGATAGACATATGCGAGAAATGCGAGTTCATTGCAGACGCAGCATGATATTTGTCCTTTACATAGTAATTAGTCTTCTCTTTTATAATACCAGTATGATACTTCATCTTCAAGTTTCGCCTATGGTTGCATTGCATCTGATTTTAACTGAACGAGGTATGACAGGAAGCGACTGAGTATGTTTTTTTTCTGCGTTTATCGTCAGATATAGCAGAGAGGACGTCAACAATGTTCGGTTCTGTAACTTGTGATAGTAACCAGGGCAGAAAACTTGTCCGTGGACTTGATTATATTATCTGCAAAAAAAAAAAAATAGAAAAATCCTAGTGGGCATATATTGTAGAACAGACTATGTCATATCGACACTCTTTTAAATCATTTTATGATTATTATTACTCATTTTATTAATAAAAATGCTCTGAAAATATGCTATAGATTCTATGAATTAGACAACACAACAATAATCATGAAACAATAACTCTGACTATTAATGGTGGACCAACTACATGACGTGCTAATGTCAATGGTTGAGGGCCAACTGCTTGTGTTTGTCGTCGGCAATATGAAAATATTTTGTTAATGTGTTTGTTGAGTTCAGGCATTGATACAGCACATACAAAAGGTAATAAAAGATTGCCATAATACTTAAAGAATTCTGCATATAACATAAAGCTGGCACCAACTTCTTCAGGAACGCCACAACGATGAATAAATTCTAATAACAGTGTTGGTACGTATATGAAAAGATACAGAAGTGAAATTGCTAATACTTGAATCGTCATCTTTCGATGATTTCGCCAACGAATTGTTCGATGCATGCGAAATTTTTGACAGATGACACGTAAAAGAAGAGCAATACTGCAGTAAATAATAACTATTGTAGGTATTAAATCATTAACTATAACATCCCACATTGCTACTGAGTCAAATTCATAATAACAAAGGGGATCACCACATGTAAGTTGAGAATAATCATAGGTATTTTCACATGGTGGAAAAATAATTACAATAATATTGTAACACATGCCATAGAGAAGAATTGTAACTACTGGTAAATAATGAAAGAAAATTAATTTATATTTGGTTGATAGTAAGTGATCATGAAAAAATAAGAATATGCCGCTCAATAGTTGCCCAAGAAAATAGAATTGTTGTTATTATATATAAAGCTTCATCAATAAAAGTCCATGTAAGACAAAAGATAGAGTTTTGTGGCCAAACATTTCCTAAACGATAATAATTAAGAAGCCATGGAATACTTGTTAGTTGAACAATAAAATTGATGAAAACAAGAAGAGTAATAACATGATTATGTAAAGCTTGACGTAATTTCCGATGGACAATAAAATTATACAAAACAAACAATGAACAGATCACTGATGGAACGTATAAGGGAAGAATAATCCAAAAACGAATTAGACGAGGAATGATGATTTCAGAAGTTAATGCCGTTGAGTCCTCGTAAGAACTGTTGCTATCACTTAACATTTTTTGCTATAAATGTTCAGTTACAATGAAGAAGAAAAACACATTCAAACTGTTTGTGTTCAATGCAAATGAAAAAAAACTCAAGTACTGTTGATAAGCAATACTATTTTTTTTTTCTTTTTTCTCCTCTTGTTATATGTTCGCTGCTTTTTTTCTCAACGTAGGAGGTTCGATAGACTCTTTCAGAACCTGTGCATCATTTTATGCAAGAATTAACATTCTGAATCAGCTGGTAATATATATTCAATATACAAAATAATAATTTTATTCTTATTATGACGATCATATCAAAGAATAGCATCACCGTAGACGATTGTACTCTTGTTTTTGTCATATGCAGGTCCATTAGATATCAATTTCATAGAGAAAAGCTATACGCAATATGTGGTCCAGAAAAAAATAAAAGATATCAAAGATGTTGATTATCTCTGATTATATAATATACAATGGTTTGCAAAAAAACTTGGAACAAACATTTGGCTTATATTAGCGCCTGAATTAATCGCCTTGAAAAAAAATGTTTCGTTATTTCATACACAATAGTTCATAGTTTAACAACATCCCGTTCAATATTTTGTTCTCTCTTCTTTTACTTCAAAAACTTAATTGCATCTTTTTTTTTATGCGATTTGTCAAACTAATTACAACTTATTTTTTCATATGAGTTCATTTTTAGTTTGTAAAAAGTCTTCAGTTTACTTGTATTTTTTAATTTTCTTTTCCCCACTCTATGTTTCACACATTCCAAACATTTTCAATGGGATTAATATCCGGGTTGTTGAGTAACCGATCTAAAATATGAGAAATAGTAGTGACGACGAGTATTTCTCATATTTTAGACTGGTCATCAATCAGCACGAATTCGAATGGAACCGAAAATGATTGACATATTATGAAACAGTTAAGAGACATTAGTTTTGTGACTTTCAGTCGATTCATCGATCGTGACTTTGTAATTTCACGTAATGAACTGATCTCGTACTCGACTGTATGTAGTATCAATCTTACGATTATCCATAATTTATCCGTTCGATACTTTAAAGAACTTTGGTACCTGAGCTGTCTCAACTGATAGATAATTGTAGGCAAAGGTGTGTTTGTAGCCTGATGGTTTTTTTCTGGCTGAACGAATTCCCTTATTTCAATAATATAATAGAGAAATATGCTATTTTTTCGTTTTGTTTGGCTTTACCATATCGAACTCTGCTCTCATAACGAAACAACACAAATCGATAAAGTAAATGAATATGTTAAGTAGATAACCTACTAAACATAAATCTACGATAACAGCAAAAGATGCCCTCCAAAAAAGCTAGGAAATATTAAATCTTTGTGTTGACTAATTGTTCCAAATTTTTTTACAAACCATTGTATATATGTCATTTCATTCAAGAAATGAAAGATAGATATAATATCAAGATCCTGAAACATATGAAGATTCTTCACATGAAATATTTTAATGCATCAGACAATTAGTAATGCAATCATGAAATATATTCAAAAATATCTATATGAGAAATTATTCAGTATACAT